GCTGCTGCAGCAGCATGCAGCAGCACTCAGCTCACCAGACACCACAAAGCTCGATGCTGCTGCTGCTGCTAATCCTGTTGTTGTTGTTGCTGCTGCTGGTCTTGCTGCTGCTGGTGTTGATGCTGCTGCTGGTGGTGTTTCCCTTTCTGCTCGTTCTGTTGCTGTTGTTCCTGCTGTCTCACTTGCTGCTGCTGCTGCTGCTGCTGCAGTTGGTGTGGCCTTGCTGCTGCTGCACCAGCAAACTGAAAAGGCGACAGCTATCGCCTGCTGCTGCTGCTGTTGCTGCTGCTGCTGTTGCTGCTGCTGCTGCTGCTGCTGCTGCTGCTGCAGGGGCGATTGAACTGAACGGAGAGATTTATCTCTTTAGCAGCCCGCGGCGGATCCGCGAGTTCTTAGAGCAGCAGCAGCAGCTGCAGCAGCAGCAGCCACAGCAGCAGCCAGCGGTGCTGCTGCAGCAGCAGCTTGCTGCTGCTGTCCAGAGGAACCCAGCACTCATATTTGCCCTAGGACTTGAGAAGCGATTCCCTGAGTATACACATGCTGCTGCTGCTGCTGCTGCTGCTCTTCTTGCTGCTGCTGCTGCTGCTCTTCTTGCTGCTGCTGCTGGTGCTGGTGCTGCTGCTGCTCACGCTGCTGTTATTTCTGCTGCCAGTTCTATCACTGGTGTTGTTGCTGCTGCCTTCGTTGGCGCTTGCGCTGTTGTTGCTGCTGCTGTTGTTTTTGTTGTTGTTGTTGCTGCTGTTGTTTGTGTTGTTGTTGCTGCTGCTGCTGCTGCTGCTGCTGCTGGGTTTCTGCTGCTGTAGTGAGTAGTTTGTGTGGCTATAGTGGGGGGTTTTGCTGCAGTTGCAGCTGTTTGTGGTGCTGCTGCTGCTGCTGTGGTTGTTGCTGTTGCTGCTGCTGCTGCTGCTGCTGCTGCTGCTGCAGGCCTGACCTCAAGGCTCTCTTAGTGTGGGCGTATCACCAGGAGCTGCATCAGCTGCTGCTTCGCCTCCAGCAGCAGCAGCAGCAGCAGCAG